TTTCTTTAAACTATAAATTGCTTAGGGCTGGGAGTTTAGCTCAGCAGCACAAATGCCTGCCTGACAAGCGTGAGATCGTGAGTTTGATCCCTGGTACCAAAAATAATAAAATAAAATAAAATATAAGTTGCTTATCTATAATATATTCCAGGACTTCACAAATTACTGGCCTTTTTCCAAAAGTTGAAGTATTAAGATTCTTTTGCATATAGCATGATTCCTCTACATGGTATAAAAAACAACTATTCCTTTGGTGAGAAATTAAAAAAAAAATCAATTCAAAATTCAAGGCTTAAAGAATGCAACTAAAAACATTAAAATTTTCCATTAGGTTAACTAGTATCTCTTTTGGTATCAAAATGTCACTTTATCTATATATAATTCTATAACATGTATGAAATTTCAAGTTATAATACCATAGCGACAACAATTAGATTAATTCAAGTCATACATGTCTTAAACAAGCAGTAATATTGTCTTGTGCTGAGGAATTTTGCACATGTAGAAATATGAGCCACACAGATCCATAATTTAAGGAGATTAAGACATTTACCAGTCTTCTTTTCACCACCGTAACACTGTGGTATTGTTTGTGTGTCAGATCACCACCCACTAGCAGTTGGGAAGCCCTTTGAGTTGATTTCAACAAGGAATTCAGTTGAGGAAGAAATGAAATGTGAAGAATGTTGAGCGTGAGTTGGATAATAAGCTCCCAATGTGCCGTATTTCTGTATTAAGTCCTTCCATTCTCATTCCCCAAGAATTCTCAAACTCAATCACAAAACATAGCCTGACCTTTAATAACTTGCTGGACTGAAATGTTAACCTTCGAGATTCTGCAGAATTCTTCCGTAAACTCTTGCTCTGGAAAGTGAATAGCTCAGAGTGCTAAAATTGTCTCCTATAATAACCACAACAGGATCATAAGAAACCTGCATTTAAAAACCAAATAAAGCCTTCCGTGGGGGCGGTTCACCACTTCCCCTTTTTTAACATGCAGGAACTCATTTAGCTGCAAAGATAAAAGCAAGAGCTGCCTCCAGATATGTAGGGAAGCTAGATCTAAGAATACGAAATGCCTCGGTGGCAGGGCCATGTGGGCAGTTTTCTGTATGAAGAGCCCTCTCCTAAAATATCACAGGTGGACACTAGAGTGCCTGCAACTGTCTTTGTACTGAAATTGACTGAAGAAGGAAGAAAAACATCCCAAATTAATTCAACTGGAACTGTCCCTAGTTGTTTAACATCCACTTTCCATTTATTGCCATGTGAATATGTTCAAAAACCCAAAGCCAAGATGAAGGACTATTCTCAAACTGCCAATAACATCAGAAGAATGAAGACCCAAATGGCCGTACCCTGCCCCTTCTCCACAGAAAGAACTCATGAAACTCCATCTATTCTATAAACCAGTGCCTCTTGCAGAAAAGTTGTCATTCAGCCCCTTCCCAGATGGTTTAAATGTAGCTTCCACACACACCCAACATCCCAACACACCATGGGTCCACTTATACATTTATCACTTGACATATTTACCTGGAACTTATTCAGGGTGTTAGTATTTTCCAATAGTGTCACCGTGTAATAAATGTTCTATAATGTCAACAAAATGAGTGTAAGTATACACAGATATAAGGGCAGATTCTGACCATCCTGTTCACCTGTAGAGACAACTTTTTGTGAGGCCTTTTGTAACAGAGTATTTCTGTTCAATTTTTCTACAGATGTCTCCTCTTTTTCTCTAAATAAAGTCTCAAAAGCAGTAAATCCTATTTTTAAGTAAAATAAAGACTATAGTAAAAAACATGTTGTTTCATCAATAAAGCTTTGTATTAATTTGAATGTAATTTGACATGTTTTTTGCTCTATTATTGTCACAGGTTTTTTTAAAAATGAAATCTAAGAACTAGATTAGAAGAAAAATATACCAGAAAGTGTGATTGTGTAAGACACAAGCACTAGGCAGAAAAACAAAGTAAACAATGAACATTTTCAGAATTTGACTTCTTTTTACCTAGACTAAAATTTGAACATTTTCACCTATGCCATCTTAGGATATCCCAGTGTAGTAGAACCTTACATTTATTTTCTATCTTCATCATAAATGTTTTTCTACTTGGATGACATTGTACCAAAATTTTTTCATCCATATGTTTCATTTCCCCAATTTTCACTCCCTAGAAATACAATTTCCTTTTTTAAGAAGTATTTTGGACATAACTGCTTACTTAACCCAAGAGATTTTGAAAATTTTCAAATTATGTGAACTTTCTATGCTACTCATATACCTGTCTGGATGCAAATCTGAGTTTATAACTTTATCTAAATATGTTTAAACAAGTTCAAAAGTGAGGGGGAAGAACACAGTCAGTTAGTGCTCTTGCATAGCTAAGTGGTAACTGTAACTGTCTCAGCTAATAAATTTGGTCATGAAGTGTGGCCTTCACATTCAAAGCATGACATAGCCAGTCAGGTTATGTGACCTCAACCTTTTTACCATTTTCATTCCATCAATTTCACTGTTGATGGAAAATCATTTAACTCTCCCATTTCCCTAACCTTGTGTTGTGCCTTGTGTAAGAGGAGAATTCTGGACACGTAAAGAACTGGCAATGTGAGCTTCTTCCAGGGATAAAGGACCAGCCTTTAAAACACACTGCAATCCCCTTCTTACTCTCATAAGCACTAAGCAGAAGGAAAATCCATCACTGCCCTGCATGTCTTGTAGGCTTTTAATTAACCGCAAACTCCTCTCTACTCCAGTTTTGTCGTATAATTCTGTAGATCTTCCTATCACAGGTGCAGCCTATTTCGCCACCCCTTACATCAGGGTCAGTCAGGACTTGAACTACTTTCTGGAACCTGAGCAAATATAACATAGGAGAGGGCTGAAAATCTTTGCACCTTGGGATTTGCCTCCTGGTTGCTCTGGGAGCAGTTCAACTGCCACGTGAATAAGTCCCTTTGAACGAGTCTGCTGGGGACGGACTTGCTGTATGGTTGAAAGCAGGCATGAATTCTGGGTAATGAGAACTGGTGGGCTGGATGTCAAGAGACACACAGCCTCCATGGTCCTTCCTGTACTTCAGCTAGCAGTGGCCAACCAAACCACCTGACATGCAAGCGAGGCCACGAGGACTGTGACCTGTCAGGCTGCAAGCTGATAGCAGACCTGAGGGGAAGCCTAGTGAGTGACAATCAGAGGCAAAGTAACTGGATAATCCCAGCCAGGCCACCAACTCATAGATTCAAAACTAAGCACATTGTTTTAAATCACTACGTTTTAAATTGTTTGCAACATTAAAAGCTGATAGTATGACTCTATGGGAAAAGAAATAGGATGTGTTAGTTAAAGAAATATTTAATTCCTCAAGCTGAATTTTGATTTTACTCTTCCTGAAAATTACTATTTGTCCAAGTAGAGGCATATACACTTGCCGTTAGCATTTTGTACTTCAATGAATGAACCTTTCATTCACATTTGTACAGCTGTTCAAAAGAAACTTCAACCTAGAAAATGTGTAATATGTAAACCAAAGAATAATAAAACCAGAGGCAAGTACGGACTTAGGCTTTGCTCATATCTTTGACCACCAAAGGACGCTGGAAGCTTTTCTGCAGATGAATACCTCAAAACTGGATACGCTGGGAAGAAAGAGTGGGATGGAGAAGACAGCATTTCGGCTAACGGAATGAAATTCATGAGGAAATGTTTGGACATTATCAGCAAGAGAACTAAAGGAACTAAAGAACTAAAGACAGCAGGAATTTCAGGCAAGTAGAATCAACAGGGCCTGGAGAAATTCTCATAAGATCGCCTTGTGAAGAATCCAAATTACATATCTGTTGTCTTGTTCTTTAAGAAAAATCCTGAGTTTCTCAAGTTTCTAAGAAATTGTTACAAATGTGCAATAAAATAAATGTTATGTGCTTTCCCAGCATGGTATGGTAACCTTGAAAAGACTGCTTAGGATAGCTGGAAAATAGTGCATGACCTTGTGGAAGTCTGAGGAGAGCCAGGGGGACGGAACTTTCCTCTCCACCCTCCCCCACGGTACAGAAGAGGAAACCAACTTCGGTAAAAAGGTGGCAGGAAGCCCTCTGGGTTTTATTACCTAGAAATAGGCAAAGGTGCTTGGGGTCAAGAATTATTCAGAAAATGTTTCACAAACCATCTCTTGTAAGCACATACCAGTTGTACATCTTTTTCACCAGAAAGAATCACTTTGACATGATTCCTGGTTTCAAGATGAAGTGGCATATAGATGTAAAATACTAAACCAATATGTAGCTAATTTCATCTTCATTAGAACTAGCACTTTCAATAATGATCCTTTCTTTCTCCGAAGCACTGTTTTGTTTTTAGTATTTTGGTTATTTCTGAACACTTACACACTTTCTGGTAGGCTTCAAGTCACTCAAAGGAAAAAGGGTTATGTTAGCTTATTAACAAATAGCCAAAGACCAGAAGAACTACACAATACTTCAGATTGTTGTCCAATGTTCTTGTATTTTAGTGAAAAAATGAGAGAAATTAATTCTTGAATATTTACATAATCAACATGTACCTAAAGGAAAAGAAAGTATTGAGTAAAATTATTTCAGTTCATGAATGGAGAAAGCTATTGAGAGGTGCTAGAAATGAGTAAAATCTAGAAAAAACATGGTCAGAGATGGTTTGGTAAAACACATCTCCAATCCTCAGTGAAGGTGCCATTCATTTAGAACAGAATCACACTGACCTCTAGCTTAAAGATGCACTTCAGAGGAAAAATATTCTGCTTTAAACACAATAATCTAAAAAGATTTCTTTGATGTTAAAGTACTTTGATGTTAACTCATGTACTTTTAATTTCTGTGCTAAATACTCTATTTCTAAGCCAAGAAAACCAGAAGGCACTAACTGTAAGACAAAGACAATCCTAGACTCTTTTAAGGGATGATTTCCACACAAACACCGATTTAATTCATTTGATCAAATGTTTTACTTTAATTCTCACCTTTTCTGCTCCTAGGACATTCCTGCTCTGTTTTTCTTCATTCTTTGGAAGGAATCCAAGTAAATCACATAATTATTGGGAAGAGTTCTTCTTATCTCTGCATGTGAGGGAGGGAAAATCAGTCTCCATGTTAATTAGAACCTTAATTTTCAAAGATAAATAAATTCAAAGATCTGGGGGTCTTTTTCCTGGCCTTTGTAATTAATTTTACAGATGATTCTAGCATCCTCTCTCTCTCTCTGTCTGTCTCTCTCTCTCTCTCATATATATATATATATATATATATATATATATGTATTTCTAAGATGGCACAAATCAGATTCTACCTTTTAGCATAATATACACATATTATATATGTACACAATATATACATATATATGTACATTTCTAAAATGGCACAAATCAGATTCAAACAGGTACAATTTCAAAGCTGAGCAAAAAAAGATTAAGCACTCATACTACAAATTGAACATCTAAAAAGACTTTAGGGTAAGTTCCCTTTGAAAGTTCTTCCCTTGAGAAAGAGTTCACTTTTCATCACACATGCAGATTTTCATTTCATTTTTGCTACTTTCACAGAGCTTTCGGAAACCATTTCTCCTCTGCGGTTGCACATGAACACTACATCAAATAGCAGAAAGCGCTTTTCCTCCTTGCTTAAACATGACTGCAATCAGAATAAGTTCATTTTATTTTTCTCCTTTTGTGAAACTTTATCCCATGTCTATAAACCCATTTCCAAGCTGTCACTCCTACATTTAGATTTGAGTAGTTTATCCATCACAAATACTTATTTAGATATTATTTCCACAAATCCTTTAAAGAGACTTATTATATTTCATTTTGAACAACTGCAATTTGTTGGAATAGCAAGCAGTGCAGCTACACATGCTTGCATACACCACGAAAAATTATAGAATCCAAAAATTCTATTTTACAGCAATTTAGCAACACATTTTTCCACATTGCTTCTGCCAGCACAGCAAAACTACTTATACACAGATTTTTCCTGAAATCATATTTTTCGGCAATAGCTTTTAAATTTTGAGTAACACTGACCGTCATTTAACACCCTAACCCTTAGCAGTGGAAGTAACACCATGATTTCTAACTTTAATGAAGTCAGATAAAGTTGTGAGAAAAGGAAATAAACAAGGAAAAGTAAATAAACAAGGAAAGAGAAGAACAATAAGAAAGAAGCATAAGAATTCTCTCCTGGCTTAGTTGTGTGAAATCAGTACTGAATTTCTAACTGAAGCTTCTTTGGAGTAAACGCAGAGCAAAGAACAAAAATGTTTTATATGCAAACATCTTTTATAAGGATGCACTGAAGTAAAAAGCAGAAGCCAGGTAAGTGAAAACTGTAATTCTGAAATGACAAAATGCGACACCGATACTACAAATCATTTATTGAGCAGACTTGAAATTGTGTTCAACATATTTTTGACAGTTACTACATATAGGAAAATCACATGGTGTTTAAAAGTCAGCGCTTGAGCTGGGCAAAGTGGCACATGTGTGTCAGCCAGTGACTAAGGAGCCTGAGGTAGGAGGATCACAAGTTCAAGGCCACCCAGGCTAGAACCAGGCAAGAATCTGACTCAAATTAGAACAAAATTTTTTAAAGCTGAAATCCAGTTTTGTTGGAGAGCCCCTCTGGGTTCTGAGTATCCCCCCTAAAAAAATATTAAAGTTATCTATAACAAATATACCCCCAAAATGTCTAGTTTTAAGATTTACACACTTGCAGTTTTTGAAGTCAGGAAAAAAAATCTAAATTTTCAAAAAAGTATTTTGATAGCAGCACTTATAACAACTTCAAGGGATAGAATCAGAATTTATGTAAAATCCCCCAAGGGATTTTTAGTTCATCCATTCTTCTTGCTCCACAACATTAAACTTGTTTTTAGTCAGGAAAACACCAGTTCAAATGAAAAAATAACAAAAAAGATTAGTGTGGATCCCTGGAAATGCCTTAGTATTAGATAATTAATCACCCAGCTGTAGATCAAGTGACTCCTTACAATAAAATCCATAATTAGATTGTCACCAGGGCAGTGGAAGACAGGGAACAGTGAGGAAACAAAAAAAGAAGAGTGTCAGCAATCCTGCCCGTCATTACTCTAGGTGACCGTAAGCATCTCTGGGGACAACCTAACCCAAGCCCAACACTAAACTCCGTGCCACACTTAGCCAGCGAACCAACCTGAGCCCAAGCCATCTCTGCTACTTCTTGAAATTGCAAATCCTCTGAAATTTTATTCTTAACATCCTGGTCTAGGGCCACATCCTTCCCGATGGCTCTGCCATCCCCCTCCTTGCATCCTTTCTACTTCATGGAAATATCAATGTTTTTCAAAAGCTAGGTTTCCTTGAGGGCACCTTCCCATACCTAACTTGCATAGATTTCATAAATCACTTAGCCAGTGCTTCCCAGCCATTTCCAAAAAAAAAAAAAAAAAAACTATTTATATAATGCTCAAATACAATGCTAAGATTTCTGGCTCCTATGGCCATGCTTAGTCTACCAGGTTAAGAAGCACTTGATCTGAGCCCTATCCCAAGGGTTATAGACACAACAGACTGAAAATGTTGATGAAGGAAAAACCTGGGAAACTCTCACTTAAACTATGTGTCAGTAATGCCCTCAACTCCCTTCCCTCTTATTCTCACACTCAACCAGCTGTTGGCCCTGCAGGGATACATTTAACTCTGGGCTTCCTCCATTCCTGAATCTAAATTGAACTATTCCAGAGGAGACAAAGAGAGCCAGTACCAACAAGACACAGGGGTCTCTAAGTTTAGGGAGGGGTTTTAAGATCCCCTGATAATATTTTCACAGGCTTCTAAGCAGCTCCCTCTCTTCCTCCTCACTTGAAACACTCAGCATTCCCTGGAGGATCTTGATCCTAAGTTCTCAAAGAACTTAGTTATCCTTCTCAGAGAGACCGAAGCCATGTGGGAAGTGGTCCTTTGACTGCTTCCTCTGCCACACACACTTGTACTTCATCCAGGAAATTCACTCCCAACTGTGGGCTCCCTCCTCCCACCCCACACTACACTCCATTTCTCTGAATTCCTAGAGAATGAGGTACATAAATTTTGCACTTCTTTTTCTATACAGTACCTGGTATAACTGGACTATGATTCCTCATTCCCTATTTCTCCCTTTCCATCATTGCCATCTTAACTCCAGGAGCAGATACGTGTCATGTGTCTTCTTCACCCCCATATGAAAATGCTTCTGCCTCCCTTCAGTCTTCTGCTTCTGCTCCTGTGGACTTCACTTGTTATTCATGGAGCCCACGGATACCCCAGAGTCCAGAGCCTCCTGACCCTCGCTTAGAGCTTTTGCAGTTCCCTCCCCTTCTTGACCTCTGTGATGCTGTTCTTTTCTGTTTGTCTTTCTATTTTTCCAGATGCTCCTGTTAAAGTCAACAGTGGTTCCTTCCTTTTCTACCAGCACTTGCAAAGGCTGGTCAAATCAGTGCACTGCAAATTTCATTATGAGGCATCTCTCCGCACTTTTTAAGTGCTTTAACCACGGCTCTCTTCTAAGACCCTGGTTTTAAATACCACCTGTAAGAGCCTGAAAACCTACACTTGTGTGTCTCTAGACTGCAAATAAGTTGAGGAAAAGAAACGCGTTTGGTCCTCGTTACAGTTCTGGCATCCAGGACATAACAGGTAATAAAAAAATTTGTGGAATGAACGAAGGAATTTCAAATGTATCCTTTTATTCCAGATCCTAATTTTAAGTTGCAAGGTGCTTTGCTCTCTACACTCCCTGCTCTGCATTCCTATTCCAGTGTCACTCAGACATCCCAAGCACATGTTCTACCCAACTGCATCACTCTGCCGCACATTCCCTAGGGTATTAGGCAACAGCTCCCCAGCCAGAGAGCAAGACCAGGTGAGCAGCCAGAATCCATGCCTCGGTTCCACTTTGTGATTCCCCACTCACAAAGTTAACAGTCTGGAGAGGAAATCAGTGATTCACACAAGTGTAAGGGTGTCACTCTTGACAACATACACAGGGCTTACTAATTTTGTACCTTGTCCATACCATAAGCTCATGTCTTTTTATATGTCAACATCTGCCTTTTAATTTGCTGGGAACTACTATGATTTGTTCACATCCTTTGAGAAAATAAACGAGATGTCACTTCTTTCTGGAATACATCTTGGTTTTTGTCCTTCTCTCCCCTGGATAGACTGTGTCTAAACCAGTGATGGCAAACCTTTCAGGTACAAATGCCCAACTGAAACCCGAAACCCACTTTTCTATTGCTAAGTGTCAACACTGCAATTAAACCTAAACACTGAGGTTGTTGTTTAGAAAGGTAACTCACACATTTACATCTGTTTTCTTTTTTTTTTTTTTGTCTTTTTCATTTTTATCGGTACCGGGGATTGAACTCACGACCACCTGCTTTCAAGGCAGGCACTTATGCCGCTGAGCTAAATCCTACATCTGTTTTCTTAAAAGAAGAACAACACGCATGCCGTTGGCTCACTACCACTGGGCTAGATGCTACCTGTCCAAAGCGCATAAGGCTCATCTCATTCACAGAAGCTTTGACCCACTACAAGAGCTATTCATTGGACCCTTTGTTTCATCTCCTGTTTCACAAGCTACTAGAGGACAGGAATGTTGCCCAGTTCTCTTATATTCTCTTATATTCTATCCCTCAAGCCCAATGTAAGTACTTACCCAGTAAATGTGGGTAACACTGACAGTTAAAGGATTTTATTAATGAGATTAAGAATAAAATTCAAACCGGGCATGATGGTGCATAGCTGTAACTCCAGCACTTGGAAGGCTGAGGCAGGAGGATCACTGCAAATTTGAGACCAGGCTGGGCTACAAAGTGAGCCCAAGGTCAGCCTGATCTGCATAGTGAGACCATGTCTTAAAAAAAAGGAATGAACGAATGAAATTCACCACAGATAAATGGAGTGATAAGTTAAACCATTAAGTTTTCAGTTAAACCAAAGTTTATTTACTTGCATTTACTGATCTTCCAAAAGTCAATAAGTCTTCTTAAACTTAATGATAAAACAAAATCGCTTATTCAGTATCATCATTGTCTGATATTTGACCAACATTTCACATAATTCCCTAAAG